GATGAATATTTCCTTAAAAATTATTTTGTATTACATACACATACATATATATATATTATTATATGTTATAAACTTTTCATTATTTGTATGATAAATATTTTTTTCCTATAATTATACTGATAAATTTATATTTTTGATAACCTAATATCTACTTACCACGTAAAATAATTCTTCTCGATTAAGTATTAAAATTTCAAAAAAAAAAAAAAAAATCATGGAGATAAATATAGTTAATTAATTTAAAATTAAAAAAACAGGTACCTCATCCAAAACGAAGGAGGGTTTGTTTACAGTATCCGGCATGAATGCAGTCAAGTAAACAGCAAGAGAGATTTTGTGAGGAAATTCTTCCATGGCTATAGCTACATTCAATCCCCCAAGACTATGTCCAACAAGTATGAATTTTTCATCTTCACTAAAACCAGCCAAGAGCTTCAATAAAGGCTCGGTGTATTCCCGAAAACTACAAACTTCTTCGATTACTTTCATGTTAATGCCCGAGGCTGCGAGGTCCAGCACCGTGACGTGGTGACCGGCCAACTCCAGCAGCGGCTTCACCTTGTGCCAGCACCAGGCGCCATGGCAAGCTCCATGCACCAAGACTATGTGCTTCTTTGGTTCCTCCATTTGAAGGTTCTCAAATGAATTGTAGTAGTAAATTATATAAATGTAAGTTATATATAAAGTCTATATCCTAGTGCCATAATTTTGTATATAAATGTAAGTTGGAATTTTCTTCTGTCTTTGGTGACTATCACCATCAATTCCATTAGTGGAAGAAAAACAAATAGAAAGTAGTTGTAAAATTGGAATCCAATTCTTTATTTGGGTCCACTCGGTCACATGGATTACTTTTGTTTCTTCTCCATTTTTTCACATAAATCTTATTTTTTCAATATAAAGTTATACCATAATCCTATGGTTATGCTGATTATGCTATTACGTAAATTCTATTAAAAGATGGTAAAAATTTATATCACATAAAATTTCGTGTAAAATTAAAGTATAAATTTATATTTTATTAAATTTAATAAATTCAGAATATATTATTCTAATTTCCCGCTAAATGTTTTATCTGGTCAAATTTTTATGTCATCTTCATATATGAATTATCTGTAAATTTATAAATTAATTTTAACAAATTTCTGCATATATATTTTTGAAAGATGAATATGTTATTAATGTTTAATTAAAGAAATAAATAGAAAAGAAATATCCAAAGAATCCCAAATGATCCATAAAAAATATATATATATATATATATCTCTTTTTAAACTAAAAAGTATAGAGTATCATTAAATCATATGATCCATATTAATATGAGCTAGCCTCCTACTCGACAACCAACAATCATCATTTAAAGCAAGTAAACAAGTTTTATGCAAAAAAAGGCAAATCATCAAGATAAATATATACACATTTGTATACACGTAACCAAACAATTTAATTACATGTCTTAGTATCAATCATAAAGGCAATATTTTAGACTCAAAGATAACTCAATCTCCCCCATCACAAGATTGACTAATGGTTAGCAAATTATATTTAAAACCTTTTACAAGCGACACATTTTCAATAGAGGTAGAATTATTAACCATTTTGCTTATTCCAACAATCTTGCCTTTGTAGTTATCTCTAAATGTCACATCTCCTCTTTACTTATCACTAGTCATGTGTCTTGAAGAGACATATATTTCTTTTCTTTGAGTGTTTTTTCGAATTGAGTATGATTGTGAAGCATGTCCATTTCTTTCATAAAAGTTACAAGCAATAATCGATGGATTGAGCTAATAAATTTCACAAAGAATTCTTTAAGATACTTTTGTTTCTTAGAAGGATCATATCAAAGTCCTACCTTATCATAAACGCTTATTTGATTTATTAATAGTATTTTTACTTTTTTCCTCTCCTTATATAAACATGGCAAGGATATTGTTTAGTTCTTTGATTTTTTCTTTCATGGCAAGATATTCATCCTTCAAGTTTCTATTTTCTAATTTGTTCATCTTTTATTTGAGTTCATTTTTTTTCTTAAGTTTTCTACTTCAATGGAGAGAGATTATATCTTTTTTTTTTTAGTTTTGTACTCTTTTGCACCTAATTTTATTAACTTATCATGAAGTTTTCTAAATGCATCTTGTAATTCACTACAAGAATAATCAAGATGACAGTGTACCTCATTTTTATCTTCATTTATGGCCATGAGGCATATGTTAACAACTTCAATTTTCTCCTTTTCACTCGGGTTACTTTCGTTGTTGTCACTCCATGTAGATAACATTGCCTTTTTCTTGAACTTCTTTTAGTTCCTTTTGCCTTGAGGACGATCGACTATGATATTTCCCACTTTTATGCAACTACAACAAATTGTTTCTCCAAAATTCTTTTACTTTTTAAAGCTTCGAATTTTTTTTCATCTAAAGTAGATGCTATGAGAGTAATAACCTTTTTTCTT